CCAGGGATAGCCTGGGTGCCGTCGGCACAGCCACGATGCCTGGCGTGGAGGTCACCGAGCCAGTGTCTGCCGATTTCCCGATCGCGGGCCGTCGCGATCGGACACCTCCCACATGCCGACCATCAGCTCGGCTCGATCACGCGTTTGGCCAACAGTCAAGACGCTGAAATAAGGACCGGTTTGGGCTTGGAAGGGACTCGCTGTTCGTCGGGTCCTGCAGTGATTATTCCTCTGGCTTCCCTCGTGCACCCAGGCTCGCTTGGTGCCCGAAAAAGGCGCTTCGCTCTTCATCTCTTCTTCCTTGTGGCAGCAGCTTGCATGCACGATGGACCCACAGGAGCTCCCTCCACGACCCCAGTGGGAAAGCCTGGTTGATTTCTGCCCCCTCCCCCCCCCCCCCCCACGAGAGTCGTCGCCCCGAGGCCCCATTGCCGTGACGACCCCCTCTCGCCCTCGAAGCTCCTTGCCGGACGCCCGCCCACCTCGGGGGCGACGATCACCATCGGGGGGGGTGCAGAGAGTCAACCCGCGTACGGCGTCCAGACTTCCCCATTGGGACCGCGGGGGGAGTTCCTACAGTCAGCGCGCACAGGAAGGAGGGGCAACCTTCCCAAGGGTACATCCTTGCCTCCTCGGCCCATCCTTCGCCGCTCTCGTGGGCCGCGCCCCGCTCGAAAGAAGCTTCGAGAGGAGCGTCAAAGGCCCTTGCAGCCGTATCGCGCATCCTTGCGACACGGGGTGACTGGAGTAGGACTGGGGAGGAGGAGGAGGAGGAGGAGGAGGAGGAGGAGGAGGAGGAGCAGGGGCCCACGGCCTTGAGCACGCGCAGGAGGAGGAGAGGAGGAGGAGGAGAGGAGGAGGAGGAAGGAGGCATCCCAGGAGCAGCTCGGCTTCAGCACGCGCTTGGCCTGCGACAGCAGCCACGGCCGCTGCCCCGGTCGGGGCCGTGAGATGGCCCACGGGGTGGCCGGCCGCGTTGCCGGATGTGCCCCTGGGCCTGCAAGGGCGCAGAGACGGCAGCGTTGCGAGGTCCAGGCCCGAGAGCCTCCTCCTCCTCCTCCTCCTCCTCCTCCTCCTCCTCCTCCTCCTCCGCCTCTGTAGCCATCTTGGCTCAAGATGCCAGGTTCCCTTGGGGCCAAAACGGATACCGCTAGTCCGCGGCTTGCAGTCGGTCGTTCGCCAAGATGCCAGGTTCCCTTGGGGCCAAAACGGATACCGCTAGTCCGCGGCTTGCAGTCGGTCGTTCGCCGGGTCAGCCCCAGGCAGAGTCTTCCGTGGTTCGCCCCACGGTGGACAGATTTTGCTCTCGCTCTCACAGTGTATTGGCATGGCTCCCGCGCCGTGGGCTGCTGACAAAGATGACTGGATGTGCAGGTTTTGTATTTTACGCGGTACTGGATTGATTGCCTTTGATCAATTGGGGCGGCAACGCTTCCTGCTTCAAGCGTCATCTCCACAAGTCGGTGGCGTTCAAGTGCCAAGCCGCCCAAATCTCCCTCGGACAGTCTCAAGCGCGGGCGCATGGAGCAGGTCTCCGCCTCCAGCGAGCAGCAGTTGCGCAAGCAGCTCGAGAAGCTTGCGAAGGAGAACGCAGCTCTTCGCCAGGGCCACGTTCTCGGGGGAGATGCGGCAGCTGGAGAAGAGCTCGCTGATCCTTCAGATGGTCAGGTTCGTGAGGAACTGGCCGCTTTGGACAAGCATCTCAAGTGGCTCGAGGGCTTCCAGGCTGAGTGGGCAGTGGCTCAGGCCAAAGAGGTGCGTGCCCAGTTGGAGTCACAACGGAAGGCGCTCTACGACAAGAAGCTTCTGCCCGCCAAGCTGTCTGCAGCTTCGCGCAGGGTGGAGGCGCCGCGCGACAAGGCGCAGGCCGACCTGGACAAGGCCAACGGGAAGCTGCGTTGCGGAGGTGCCGAACAGCAGGATCCAGCAGTTGAGGATGTCCTTCTTGAGTGCGGGGTATTGGTTCAAGCCTGGTTGCTCTTTGGGCCTATCCCGTATGTGCGCCGACAGTGGATGGGATAACGATCCTTTGGTCCTGTCCACTGCAGACGCTGTGCACGCGTACATTGTGAGATTCAAGTTTAATGCAGTTTCAGCTGAAGTCGTGACCGCGCTCATGACAAAGATTGCGAGTGTGATTGGAGATTCAACGGCGCGGGTCAAATGTCGCAATCCCGTGGCGGCTTTAGTGCTGAGCCTTCACAGGATTTCCTAGACCGTGAATGAACCTGCTCTGTTGTGTGACGACTGCGGGGTGGACTGAGACATCAGTTTCTATTCGGCTGCCTTTATTGCTCAGCAGGTCAAGCTTGGAGTCAGGAGACAGAGAGACAGGGGTGCGCTCAGCTTGCTACCAGGTGCGGGCTCCACGAGGACATGGCAGATTGCCTGGGGGGCCATCCACTCGACACTCCAGGGAAAGAAGCTCTCACCCCACGAGCGACGATCCCTCCGATGCTGGGGACGGAGGACCGCAGGAGCGTTTTGCACGAGGGCTGTTGCCACATTTCAGCCAGGCCTTTGGCGCGGAGGAGGGCGACCCAGAGACCGAGATTTTGTGGACCTGGACAATGCTGGCGGAGTGCTGGTTGAAAAGGGGACGGTTTTTGTGGACGGAAGTGCATGTGACGTTCGCTATCCCGAGCTCCGCTCGGCTGGATAGGCCATGCTGGTATTTAGTGCGGAGAGACAGTGCGCGGGTCGCTTTCACGGTGCTGCGCAGAGGCAGGAGGGACCGACCCAGGTTGCTCCTGATGGCGAGCACTATGCGATCATGATGGCCAGCCAGTTGGTCCATGGTTCTCACGCGCTCAAATCCGACTGCAGAGGATCGGCGCTGTGTTGCCATCGCCTGGGTGCAGCGGCCGGGCCTGGCAATGTTCGAGCCCATCTCTGGTCGAGAACCGCGTTGTCCAAGGCCTTTCAGAGGGCCACGGTGTCTCACATCAAGGCTCACACGACGATGGATGGTGTCAGGGAAGGGCCCATCTCGACGTTTGACAGAGGTGGCAATCAGCAGGCGGACGAGCTCGCGAAAGCTGGAGCCAGTCGACATCGAGCTCCTGAGCTGCACGTGAGGCTATCCAGAGGAGCGCAAAAGTTCCATGCTGAGCTGCTTCGCTACCTCGCCCAGTTCGAGGTCATGTTCTATGACCTGGACGAAGGCTGCCGCGACTATTTCTTCCCCGAGCCCGAGGAGGGCAGCACGGTCACGGCCGAGCAGGATGCGGCGTCCAGGGAGCAGTCTTTGGCGTCGCCGTGGTTTGTCAATGGTCATGCTTTGCTGGCCTACCCTGTGGTAGGGAATGGTTACGCGCTGGTGTTACGTTCCTATTGCTGCAAGTACACTGACACTGGAAGTATCAATCACCACGGCCTGGATGCTACCTGTTGTGGCAGGCACCGGTCGAAAGGGCGGGTGGTTGAAAATTTGAAGCATTTTGAAAATCTTCGCCACCCCCAGTCGGTGAAGCAACATCTGAAGTTCGAGTCGTCCAGGAGGCCTTCGGAGTTCATTCGGTTGGCCCTCTGCAGGGCCAAGGGCTGGCGGGAGCCTCTATCGGCGGTTGTCTTCCAGAGCAGCAAGAGGAAGGCCAAAGCGGAGCCCCAGCGGTCCTGGACACGTCCGTGCTTCTGAAAGACTATGGTCTCGATCTGGATACCCTTGCGGCTCTAGGGGAGCCGCGGAATGACAATGAACATGAAGATGTTTTCGGTGATGAGGAGTGGTAGTTTGGCCGCTCGGAATCTTATTCAGCCCTGGCTCGGTGTTTTGTCTGGGATCCGTATTTGCTGGGGGTTCGTCGACTTTGAGTACCTCAGCCACGGGGGAGAGCGCCTTTTCCAGGCGGCCCTTCACCCAGGGGAACGCGGCTCGCGGTCCTGGGCGTGGCACAAGCGAGGAGTTCGGCGTCTTCGTGGGGCCGTTTCGCCCCGCGCCCGCGGCCGCTGCTGCTGCTGGCGCTCCTAGCCTTGGCCCTCCTCCTTGGCGCGCGGTTGGCCTCTCTTCCGCCCCCTGTGGGGGCGTTTGGGTCCACCGTGCGCGGGGGGGGGGGGGTGTGGCTAGCAGCGCTGTCCCTCGCTCTAACCAACCGCCCGTCGGCTCTGGCGCACTCCTCCTCCGCCTCCCCCCTCCTCCCCCCCCCTTCTCCTCCCCCTCCTACCCCTCCTCGCCCCTCCTCCTCCTCCTCCTCCTCCTCTCCTCCTCCTCCTCCTCCTCCTCCTCCTCCTCCTCCTCCTCCTCCTCCTCCTCCTCCTTCCTCCTCCTCCTCCTCCTCCTCCTCCTCCTCCTCCTCCTCCTCCTCCTCCTCCTCCTCCTCCTCCTCCTCCTCCTCCTCCTCCTCCTCCTCCTCCTCCTCCCCCGTCGAGAGTGCTCGCGCCGGCCACGCGCAGAGAGCGATAGGGGGCCCAGAGCCCTTCGCGTCAGGACAAAATCGCGACTGAAAGTGTTTTCGCCGTCTTCGGCCTCGGGGGGCCCTTGCCCGGCCTCGGGGCCATCCAAAACTTGATGGGCCTGTTTTCCACTACCACCACCACCACCACCACCACCACCACCACCACCACACCACCACCACCACCACCACCACCACCACCACCACCATAACCAAAGTTGAGGGGGAGGGGTCCTCCTCTCCTCCTCCTCCTCCTCCTCCTCCTCCTCCTCCTCCTCCTCCTCCTCCTCCTCCTCCCTCCTCCTCCTCCTCCTCCTCCTCCTCCTCCTCCTCCTCCTCCTCCTCCTCCTCCTCCTCCTCCTCCCTCCTCCTCCTTCACCACCTCCTCCTCCTTCTCTTTCTCCTCGTCGTCCTCCTCGTTCTCCGCCTCCTTCCCCCTCCAACTTATGGTGGTGGTGGTGGTGGTGGTGGTGGTGGTGGTGGTGGTGGTGGTGGTGGAAAGCAGGCCCTTATTAAAAAAAAAATCTCAGGATAACAAACCATTCCCCGGGAGTGGGTCGAGACCTCTGGGGATCGACGTTTTGAAAAATCATGACGTCGGCGGTCTGGGGGGAGGGGCGGAGGTTTCTTACAAGCACCCCTGCTTCTTAGAAGGCGCGGGCCTGATCTATAGATGCAAGGCCAGCGCCTTCTAAGAAGCCTCTCCCCCTGCCCATGCACTTGTGCGCGCCGCCAATGCCCCCCCCCCTCTCCATGGGGGGCGTCGCGGGGGAGCGCGAGACGGGGGGTTGCGATCGGCCAGGGGGTCGAGGTCTGCGTCCGAGAGAGCTCCCCCCCTCCTCCTCCTCCTCCTCCTCCTCCTCCTCCTCCTCCTCCTCCTCCTCCTCCTCCTCCTCCCCTCCTCCTCCTCCTCCTCCTCCTCCTCCTCCTCCTCCTCCTCCTCCTCCGTGGGGAGCGGCGCGAGAGAGCGAGAAGAGAAGGCAGCAGCGCTCTGCGCGGCCTACCGCGCGAGGCTGGGCATCGCGATCGGCCAGGGGCCCAGGCACCCGACGTGAGGCATTTCTCGCCGCGTGGACCGCTGGAGGTCTCGCCCCGTTCCCCGGGACCGGCTTCTCTAGGGCCTAGCCTATCGGGAGCCTTGGGACGGGGGTCAACGCAAACGGGGGTCAGCCAGAGCGCCCCGACCTTGCAGGATCCTGCAGGGCCAGGGTCGCATTGACCCAGGTTTGGGTGCAGGATCCCAGGATCCTTCGCATTGACCCGGGTTTAGGTGCAGGATTTTCCCGGATTTTGCAGGACTCTGCAAGGCCTGACTGACCCGGGTCTGGATTGACCCGGGTCAGAGGACCCCCGAGCCTAGGCTGAAGTCGTGCGTGTCCCTGATGTTTGTACACTGTTTGGCCGTCTGGGGGCATGTGTCCCAACCATCCTGTGGTGTTGGGTCTTCGTGTTGAACAGACGGCGCCCGCATCCTTCCTCCCGCCGCCCCCGTCCCTCTCCCCATCATCAGCATCACCATCACCATCATCGTCGTCATCATCATCACCATCATCACCAGTTCGGCACACCCCTCACACGGTTCGTGGCCCAATAGGGAGCCCCACCGAAGGCCCCGATGGTTGCGCCCTCATGCGTCACCGCCACCCATTACGGGACACCCCTCACTCGGTTCTTGGCCCCATAGGTAGTTCCACCGAAAGCCCCAGTGGTTGCGTCCGCATGCGTCACCGCCACCCATTACCGCACACCTCTCACACGGTGCGTGGCCCCATAGGGAGCTGCACCGAAGGCCCCAGTGGCTGCGTCCGCATGCGTCACCACCACCCAATTTGGCACACCCTTCACACGGTTCGTGGCCCCATAGGGAGCTCCAACGAAGGCCCCGATGGTTGCGTCCTCATGCGTCACCGCCACCCAGTACGGGACACCCCTCACACGGTTCTTGGCCCCAGAGGTAGTTCCACCGAAAGCCCCCAGTGGTTGCGTCCGCATGCGTCACCGCCACCCATTACCGCACACCTCTCACACGGTGCGTGGCCCCATAGGGAGCTGCACCGAAGGCCCCAGTGGCTGCGTCCGATGCGTCACCGCCACCCAGGACGTTTCGCGGCCCTATGGGGAGCTCCACCGAAGGCTCCAGTGGCAGGGTCCGCATGGGTCACCGCCCACCCAGGACAGCGTTTCGTGGCCCCATAGGGAGCTCCACCGAAGGCTCCAGTGGCAGTGTCCGCATGCGTCACCGCCACCCAGGACAGCGTTTCGCGGCCCCATAGGGAGCTCCACCGAAGGCTCCAGTGGCAGGGTCCGCATGGGTCACCGCCACCCAGGACAGCGTTTCGCGGCCCCATAGGGAGCTCCACCGAAGGCTCCAGTGCCAGTGTCCGCATGCGTCACCGCCACCCAGGACAGCGTTTCGTGGCCTCATAGGAAGCTCCACAGATGGCTCCAGTGGCAGTGTCCGCATGCGTCGTCGCCACACAGGACAGCGTTTAGCGGCCCCATAGGGAGCTGCACCGACGGCTCCAGTGGCAGGGTCCGCATGCGTCACCGCCACCCAGGACAGCGTTTCGCGGCCCCATAGGGAGCTCCACCGAAGGCTCCAGTGGCAGGGTCCGCATGGGTCACCGCCACCCAGGACAGCGTTTCGCGGCCCCATAGGGAGCTCCACCGAAGGCTCCAGTGCCAGTGTCCGCATGCGTCACCGCCACCCAGGACAGCGTTTCGTGGCCTCATAGGAAGCTCCACAGATGGCTCCAGTGCCAGTGTCCGCATGCGTCGTCGCCACACAGGACAGCGCTTCGTGGCCCTTCAGGAGCTCCACCGAAGGCTCCAGTGGCAGTGTCCGCATGCGTCACCGCCACCGATTTCGGCGCACCCCTCGCACGCTTCGGTTCCCCATCGGGAGCTCCACCGAAAGCGGTACCCACAATGCGGCACTCGCAGCTACATATGGTTGGGTCCTCCGTCAGGCTAATTTTATATTTTTTTTTATTTTTCATCCGGAATCCGCCTGTAAGGGGACATGCCCGGCCTAAGCCTAGTCCCTAGAGAAGCCGGTCCCGGGGAACGAGTTATTTTGTTTATGTCAGTTCCCTTAAGGGGGCGAACACTGACATAAACATAATAACTCGGAGGTCCGCGCTCATTTCTCGGATCGGCGCTGGGGCCCCCTGGCGGCGCCTCCGGCACCGCCCCTGGCGCGCTCCGCGCGCCAGGGAGGGGGGTCCAGCGCGGATCCAAGAAATCCGCGCGGACCTCCCAGTTTTTATGCTCATGTCATTTCTCGGTTCCCCTGCTACCACCCAGTACAGCCATTGCCCCCTTCGTTTCACCCACCCAGTACAGCGATTCGTGGCCCCATATGGGGGGCTCCACCGAAGGTCCCAGTGGCACCGCCCGCATGCGTCCGCCACCACCCAGCACAGCCCTTGCTCCCTGCGTTTCACCGCCACCCAGTACAGCGCTTCGTGGCCCCATAGGGAGCTCCACGGAAGGTCCCAGTGGCACCACCCGCATGCGTCCGCCACCACCTAGCACAGCCCTTGCTCCCTGCGTTTCACCCACCCAGTACAGCGCTTCGTGGCCCCATAGGGAGCGCCACCGAAGAAGCTATTCACAACTGCGGTACTCGCAACTGCATATGGTTGGGTCCTCCGCCAGGCCAAGTTCCTACCCGAGAGGGCCTGGGGGCCGAGGTCACCGTCTCGGAGCAGGAGCTGAGCCCCTCCGACCTCTCGTCCGCCTTCGACTCCGCCATGACCTCGGGCGACCCGGGCGCGATCCTCGGCACGCTCGGGGCGGTGACCTCGGCCACGGCGGCCGGAGGCAACGAGACGCTGAAGCAGCTCGCGGTGCTCGGGGGCAACGTCGGGGGGGGAGGAGGAGGAGGAGGAGGAGGAGGAGGAGGAGGAGGAGGAGGAGGAGGAGGAGGAGGAGGAGGAGGAGGAGGAGTGGGCTAGCCAGGGGGCCGGAGTGCCTCGGACGTCGTCGTCGGCGCTCGCCGCTCCTCCAATACACCTCGGTATGCTTTTTCCAGCAGCTGCGCCTCGCGGGGAGCGTGCCGGGGGCGCCGGCATGGTCCCGGGATCAGCCGCCGGAGGCCCGAGGCACGGCCCGAGGGCCGCCGGGGACGGGGGAGGAGGAGGAGGAGGAGGAGGAGGAGGAGGAGGAGGAGGAGGAGGAGGAGGAGGAGGAGGAGGAGGATGCGGAGGAGGAGAAGGAGGAGGAGGAGGAGGAGGAGGAGGGGGATGCGCTTGCAGGGGTTGCATCGAACCCCCGATCGCCCCTTCGTCGCCGATGTGGCGCCCGATGGCCCACCCCGACCAGGAGCGCGCGGTGCCGCCATCGGGGGCTCATCGCAGATCCATCGGCGATGTGTCGCCAGCTCTGGCTCGATCTGTCCCCCACTCGGGCCAGCGCCCCCCCCACGTGCCGGTCCCAGGTGCAGGAGTCGCTGAATGCGCTCACGTCCGTCGTCGGCATATTCCAGCCCGACTCCGCTGGCGTTACGCAGCTCGGCTCGACCATCAGCTCCATGGTCTCCGCCAGCAGCGGTTCCATGAGCGTGGACAACCTCTTCGCCGTCTTGAACGTCACGTCGTCGGTGATCGGCGTCGTCCGCGGCGTCGGCAGCAGCGGCATGGACGGCGCAGGCGGCAGCGCGATGCTCAGCAGCCTCTCCTCGCTCAACGCGGCCAGCTCTCCGTCCTCGGGGGCTCGCTGGGGCAGGACAGCCAGCAGGTCGTTTAAAGAGCAGCAGGCGCTTGCAAACACGGCGATCGAGGTGGCGAACCAGCTCGGGACGGCGGTTGCCGAGCCGATGACCGCCGGCACGGAGACGACGCTCGACGGGACGGACGCCAGCGGAACCGGGGCCCAGATGGGTGTGTCCAAGGTTGCCGGGGCCGGCGGAGACAGCACAGACGCCTCGAACCGGAAGCCGGGTCGCCAATGGGTGCCGCAGGAGGCAATTTTAAGTCGGACATGTCCCTCTACAGGAGGCATATTCAAGAGTACTCCAAAAATAGCCTGGGGACGATTCAATTGACGATTCTTCTTAGTTCCCGACCGTCCTGTGATGTTGGGTCTTCGTTTTGAAGAGACAGAGCCCCGCGTCTCACTCACTCCTCCTCCCCCCTCCTCCCTCTTCCATGCGTTTCACCCACCCAGTACGGCGTTTCGTGGCCCCACAAAGAGCTCCACTTCAGGTCCCAGCGGGGGGGTACTACATGCGTCCGCCACACCCAGTGCGGCGTTTCGTGGCTCCATAGAGAGCTCCACTTAAGGTCCCAGCGGGGGGGCTACTACATGCGCCCGCCACACCCAGTACGGCGTTTCGAGGCCCCATAGGGAGCTCCACTTAAGGCTCCAGGGGGGGAACCCCGTGCGTCCGCCACACCCAGGGCGGCGTTCCGTGGCTCCGCCTAAGGCCCCATTTGGGGGGACCACATGCGTCCGCCACACCCAGTACCGCGTTTCATGGCCGCACAGGGAGCTCCACCTCAGGCCCCAGTGGGGGGTACCACATGCGTTTGCCACACCAAGTGCGGCGTTTCGTGGCCCCACAGGGAACTCCACTTCAGGTCCCAGCGGGGGGGCTACTACATGCGTCCGACACACCCAGTACGGCGTTTCGTGGCCCCACAGGGAGCTCCACCTAAGGCCCCAGTGGGGGTACCACATGCGTCTGCCACACCCACTACGGCGCTTTGTGGCCTCATAGGGAGCTCCACTTAAAGCCCGAGTGGGGTGTGGCCACATGCGCCCCGCACGCCTAATTTGGCAGTTTCACCCACCCAGTATAGTGCTTCGTGGCCCCATAGCAAGCTCCACCGAAGCTCCCTGTGGGACCGTCCGCGTGCGTCCCGCACACCCAATTTGGCATTTTTGCCCACCCAGTAAAACATTTCGTGGCCCCATAGGGAGCTCCACTGAACCTCCCCAGTGGGACCGTCCGCATGCGTCCTGGAAATGCAATTTGGCATTTTCACCCACCCAGTACAGCGTTTCGTGAAGCCCCTTGTGGGACCGTCCGCATGCGCCCCGGAAGCCCAAATCGGCATTTTCACCCGCCCAGTACAGCGCTTCGTGGCCCCATAGGGAGCTCCACCGAAGCTCCCTGTGGGACCGTCCGCGTGCGTCCCGCACACCCAATTTGGCATTTTCACCCACCCAGTACAGCGGTTCGTGGCCCCATGGGGAGCTCCACCGACGGCCCCAGTGGGACCGCCCGCATGCGTTCCCACCCACCCAGTGCAGCGCTTCGTGGCCCCATAGGGAGCTTCACCGAAGAAGATATTCACAATTGCGGTACCCACATTTGCATATGGCTGGGTCCTTCGCCAGGATAATATTGTTTGACTATTTCGGGGGATTTGTTTTGAATATTTGTCATTGTTCGCCCAAAATCCGCCTGCAGGGGGGACATGCCCAACCCAAAAGTATTTTTTGTTGTGCCCCGACAGCCCCGGGGACCCAGACTTGGACCGTTCCAGAAGGGGCCTCGCCTTCGAAGGGTAGTGAAGTTGGTGCCTTCTCCCTGGCAGGAGCTGGCGGAAGGCTGGCGGAAGTAAACATCTGCCACATTAGGGGGGTCAGGGTTTCTGGAATGAGCCACGAATTCGCAGGACATTGTGTTTTTTGTTGCATCGAGGATCGACGACGAGTGCGTTCCTAGATCTCCCATGGCAGTAGTTATTCCTTGCTATACGCGTCGAAGACGCATGATTACGGCGAGCCACCGCTGCCCCTGCTTTTTGGAAACGCTCTTGTGGCCGAAGGTCGGGCCGAAATCTTGTCAACCTGCTGGGGGGGGCACCTGGGGGAGGAAGATATAGGAGGGGAAAAAAAACCTGGCGAAGGACCTAACCATATGCAGTTGTGGGTGCCGCAATTGTGAATATCTTCTTCGGTGAAGTTCCCTGTGGGGCCACGAAGCGCTGCATTGGGTGGGGGGAACGCATGCGGGCGGTAGCACTGGGGCCGTCGGTTGAGCTCCCTATGGGGCCACGAAGCGTTGTACTGGATGGGTGCAAATTCCAAATTGTGGGACGCATGCGGACGGTTCGGTGGAGCTCCCTATGGGGCCACGAAGCGCTGTACTGGGCGGGTGGAAATGCCAACTTGGGCGTCCGGGGCGCATGCGGACGGTCCCACAGGACGCTTCGGTGGAGCCCCCTTATGGGGCCACGAAACGCTGTACTGGGTGGGTGAAAATGCCAAATTGGGCTTCCAGGACGCACGCGGACAGTCCCATTGGGGGTTTCGGTGGAGCTCCTAATGGGGCCACGAAGGGTGGGTGAAAATGCCAAATTGGGTATGCGGGACGCATGCGGACGGTCCCACAGGGGGCTTCGGTGGAGCTTGCTATGGGGCCACTAAACGCTTTACTGGGTGGGTGAAAATGCCAACTTGGGCTTCCGGGGCGCATGCGGACGGTCCCGCTGGGGGCTTCGGTGGAGCCCCCTTATGTATGGGGCCACGAAACGCAGTGATGGGTGGGTGAAAATGCCAAATTGGGTTGCCAGGACGCATGCGGACGGTCCCCCTGGGGGCTTCGATGGAGCTCCGAATGGTCTTAAGTGGAGCTCTTTATGGGGCCACGAAACGCCGTACTGGGTGTGGCAGACGAATGTGGTACCCCCCCCTGGAGCCTTAGGTGGAGTTGGCTATGGGCCCACGAAACGCCGCACTGGGTGTTGCGGACGCATATGGTACACCCCCTCTGGGACCTTAGGTGGAGCTCCGTATGGTGCCACGAAACGCCGTACTGGGTGTGGCGGGCGCATGTGGTACCCCCCCCCTTGGGGGCCTTAGGTGGAGCTCCCTATGGGGCCACGAAGCGCCGTATTGGGTGTGGCGGACGCATGTGGTACCCCCCCCTTTGGGGCCTTAGGTTGAGCTCCCTGTGGGGCCACGAAGCGCCGTACTGGCTGTGGCGGACGCGTGTGGTACCCCCCCTCTGGGGCTTTACGTGGAGCTCCCTCTGGGGCCACGAAACGCTGTACTGGGTGGGTGAAACGCATGGAGGCGGGAGGAGGGGGAGGAGGGAGGAGGGGGAGGAGAGAGGAGGCGGAGGAGGAGGAGGAGAAGGAGGAGGAGGAGGAGGAGGAGGAGGAGGAGGAGGAGTGAGTGAGTGAGTGAGTGAGTGAGTGAGTGAGTGAGTGAGTGAGTGAGTGGGTGAGACGCGGCGCGCTGTTTCTTCTAAACGAGGACCCAACACCACAGGATGATTGGGAAAACAAGAAGGAGAGAGGGAGAGAAAGAGAGAGAGCACAAATTAGCCTGGCGAAGGACCCAACCATATGTAGTTGTGAATGCCGCAATTGTGCTGGGTGGTGGCGGACGCATGCGGGCGGTGCCACTGGGGCCTTCGGTGGAGCTCCCTCTGGGGCCACGAAACGCTGTACTGGGTGGGTGAGACGCGGTCAGCAAGGGCTGTGCTGCGTGGTGGCGGACGCATGCGAGCGGTGCCACTGGGACCTTCGGTGGAGCTCCCTATGGGGCCACGAAACGCTGTACTGGGTGGGTGAAACGCAGGCAGGGAGCAAGGGCTGCGCAGGGTGGTGGCGGACGCATGCGGGCGGTGCCGCTGGGACCTTTGGTGGAGCTCCCTATAGGGCTACGAAGCGCTGTTCTGGGTGGGTGAAGCGCAGGGAACAAGGGCTGTGCTGGGTGGTGGCGGACGCAAGCGGGCAGTGCCACTGGGACCTTTGGTGGAGCCCCCTATGGGGCCACGAAACGTGCGAGGGGTGTGCCAGAATGGGGTGCGGAACCGCATGCCAGCGCAGCCACTGGGGCCTTCGGTGGAGCTCCCTATGGAGCCACGAAACGTGTGAGGGGTGTGCCGAAATGGGGGGTGGAACCGCATGCGAGCGCAGCCACTGCGGCGTTCGGTGGAGCTCCCTATGGGGCCACGAAGCGTGTGAAGGGCGTGCCGAAAAAGGGAGCGGAACCGCATGCGAGCGCAGCCACTGGGACCTTTGGTGGAGCTCCCATATGGGGCCACGAAACGTGCGAGGGGTGAATGGGGTGTGGAACCGCATGCCAGCGCAGCCACTGGGGCCTTCGGTGGAGCTCCCTATGGAGCCACGAAGCGTGTGAGGGGTGTGCCGAAATGGGGGGGTGGAACCGCATGCGAGCGCAGCCACTGCGGCGTTCGGTGGAGCTCCCTATGGGGCCACGAGACGTGTGAGGGGTGTGCCGAATGGGGGTGGAACCGCATGCGAGCGCAGCCACTGGGGCCTTCGGTGGAGCTCCCTATGGGGCCACGAACCGTGTGAGGGGTGTGCCGAAAACCACATGCGAGCGCAGCCACTGGGGCGTTCGGTGGAGCTCGGAGCCACCCACGAAGCGTGTGAGGGGTGTGCCGACCGCATGCGGGCGCAGCCACTGGGGCCTTCGGTGGAGCTCCCTATGGGGCCACGAAACGTGTGAGGGGTGTGCCAGAATGGGGGGTGGAACCGCATGCGGGCGCAGCCACTGGGGCCTTCGTGGAGCTCCCTATGGGGCCACGAAACGGGTGAGGGGTGTGCCAGAATTGGAGATGGAACCGCATGCGAGCGCAGCCGCCGGGGCCTTCGGTGGAGCTCCCAATGGGGCCACGAAACGTGTGAGCGGTGTGCCAGAATGGGGGGTGGAACCGCATGCGAGCGCATCCACTGGGGCCTTCGGTGGAGCTCCCTATGGGGCCACGAAACGTGTGAGGGGTGTGTGTGCCCGAATGGGGGGTGGAACCGCATGCGGGCGCATGGGCCTTCGGTGGAGCATGGGGCCACGACGTGTGGGCCAGAATGGGGGTGGAACCGCATGTGGCGCAGCCACTGGGGCCTTCGGTGGAGCTCCCTATGGGGCCACGAAACGTGTGAGGGGTGTGCCAGAATGGGGGGTGGAACCGCATGCGGGCGCAGCCACTGGGGCCTTCGGTGGAGCTCCCTATGGGGCCACGAAACGTGTGAGGGGTGTGCCAGAATGGGGGGTGGAACCGCATGCGGGCGCAGCCACTGGGGCCTTCGGTGGAGCTCCCTATGGGGCCACGAAACGTGTGAGGGGTGTGCCAGAATGGGGGGTGGAACCGCATGCGGGCGCAGCCACTGGGGCCTTCGGTGGAGCTCCCTATGGGGCCACGAAACGTGTGAGGGGTGTGCCAGAATGGGGGGTGGAACCGCATGCGGGCGCAGCCACTGGGGCCTTCGGTGGAGCTCCCTATGGGGCCACGAAACGTGTGAGGGGTGTGCCAGAATGGGTGTGGGAGGGGGAGGAGGGGGTAGGAGGGAGGGAGGAAGGAGGCGGGAACGCGGGGCACCGTCTCTTCAAAACGAGGACCCAACACCACAGGATGTTGGGGAAAAAGAGACAGAGAAAGAGAAACATAAAGAGAAAGACAAAGGCAAAGAGAGGAGGAAGAGGAGGAGGAGGAGGAGGAGGGGAGGGGAGACGTACCTGAGTAACACAAGATGTTTTAACGATGCTGCAACACATGCGCCCTGCCGTCCCAAGTCCTCTGCTCAGAAACCCCGTTTCTGTGCCGGGCCCAGGTAACGGAAAGAGTGAGGTACGAGTGAGTTCCGTTGAGTTGGGGCGAGGCCCTTCTTGGGGGGGGTGCAGGGGGGGGGGGGGGCGAGGCCAGGATGTATTGGTCTAATGGCCCGTTCCCCTCGTATTTTTTCGAATGAAGCGGCTCCCGGGCGGCTCCCATGGTGAAGCGGCCCAAGGGCCCCAAGACGGCCCCAAGAGAGCTTCAGATGGCCGCTAGACGGTCCAAGAAAGTCTCGAGACTGCCCCAGAGGCCCTCAAGAGGGGGATGAGAAAGAGGAGGACAAGGAGGAGGAGGAGGAGGAGGAGGAGGGAGGAGGAGAAGGAGGAGGAGGAGGCGGAGGCAGGGAGGTAGAAGGAGGAGGAGGAAGAGGAGGAGAAGGGGGAGGAGGAGGAGGCGGAGGAGGAGGAGGAGGAGGGGGGAGAGGAGGTGGAGGAGGAGGAGGAGGAGGAGGAAAAGGAGGAGGAGGAGGAGGAGACGTAAGATGCTCTTCACACCCAGGCTCCCAAGCGCGAAGGTGACGTAAAAAGCTCGTCACACGAAGGCTCCCAAGAGCGAACGGCAACGTAAACATCTCTGATCACCAGGGCTCCCAACAGAGAGCGGTGACGTAAGAAGCTCTTCCCACCAAGGCTCCCAAGAGCGAACGGTGACATGACAAACTCGTGCACACCAAGGCTCCCAAGAGCGAACGATGGCGTGACAAACTCGTGCACACCAATGCTCTCAAGAGCGAACGGTGACGTACACAACTCTCAACACCAAGGTTCCCAAGAGCGAGCGGCAACGTAAAAGTCTCGGAACACCAAGGCTCCCAAGAGCGAGTGGTGACGTCACAAACTCTTACCACCAAGGTTCCCAAGAGCGAAGGGTGCCATGAGCCCTCTCGGGCAGGTTGCTGCAGCGCTCTTTCCGTTCCCGTGCCGGCCCCAGGCCTAATGGCTTTCGGCCCATCCCGCCACCGTGTCTGGGTTGTGGGTCAGAGTTCTCATGGATGCGTCTTCGGGTCTCTTCGGGGCGCTCTCAGGGGCCTCTTGGATGCATTTTTGGGGCCTCTTGGGAGCCTCTTGGGGATCTCTTGGGGGCCTCTTAGGGCCTCTTGGGGGCCTCTTGGAGCCACTTAGGGGCCTCATGAGGGCCTCTTGGGGCCTCCTGGGGGCCCCTCGGGGCCGAGGGCTCGAAATGTCCGTTCGGGTTCCCCCTCTTGGGGCCCCCTCTTGGGCCGTCTTTGGCCCCTCTTGGGCCGTCTTGGACGCCTCTTGGGCCGTCTTGGGGACCTCTTGGGCCGTCTTGGGGCCCGCTTTGGGGCCTCTGGGGCCGTCTGGGGGCGATCTTTGGGGCCTCGTGGGCCGTATTGGAGCGTCGGGAAGCCTAACAGGCGAGAACGCCCAAGTCCTCCAAACACCGACGGCAGATCAATGATGTTGGCTTGTTGGGGCCGTCTGGGGAGGCCTCTTGGAGGCATCAGGGGTGTCTCGGACGCCTCTTGGGACCGTCTTGGGGCCGTCTTAGAGCGCTGGCGACTCTGAGCACTCCTGGACCATCTTGAGGGCTATTGGGGCTCCCTTGGCCTGTCTTGGAGACGTCCTGGGCCCCAGCAAGTCGTGCGACAAGCCTCGGGGAACCGCGACAAGCCCATACAGCTTTGGCAATTGTGCCCCTGGAAGGCTCCTCCAGAGCGAGGGTTGAGGCTCCGAGGACTGGGCAAAGGACGCGAGGACAGGCCCACTCCGTGCCTGGCTGCGTGGTGGTGGATGCTCAGCAGACGCGTACCGGCGGCGCCAAGACGAGAGCTCCCTTTCGAAGACGACCCCCCTCCATCCTGGCAGCCGCTGCGGATTTCAAGCTTCGGGGTCATTCGTGGTGGGGAGGCCTCGGGCGAAACGCCTGACCCGCCCTGCCGACACGTTCGGGGGTGCGAAAATGAGGATTTGTTCACAAAGAAAAGGGACAGTGGAGGAGGACGGTGATGATGCTGATGATGATGCTGATGATGATGATGTTCATGATGATGGTGATGATGATGATGATGATGATGGGGAGGAGGAGGATTCGGACTGAGGGAGGGATGACGATGATAATCAGGATGAGGGTTAGGATGAGGACGATGATGAGGACGAGGATGGTGATGATGATGATGCTGCTGCTGATGATGATGGTGATGGTGTTAATGATGGTGATGAGGATGAGTATGAGGATGATGATGCGGATGAGGATGATACGGATGATGACGATATTGATCGTGATGATGATGATGATGATGATGATGATGATGATGATGATGATGATGATGATGATGATGATGATGATGGGAATGTGGATGAGGATGAGGATGAGGAGGATGAGGAGGATGAGGATGAGGATGAAGATGAGGAGTATGATGATGAGGAGGATGGTGATGATGATGCTGCTGATCGTTAGGATGATGCTGATGATGATGAGGAGGAGGAGGATGACAATAATGATGATGCTGAGGATGATGGTGCTGAGGATGATGCTGATGATGATGAGGATGATGCTGGTGGTGGTGATGATGATGATGCCGGTGATGATAATGATGCTGAGGAGGAGGAGG